TTTTTTTTGGAGAGATTTTCACTGTAGGGCGCGTGCGCTCGCCAGACAGACAGAGAGAGACATAGAGACAGAAAGCGAGAAATCACCCCCCAGGGGGGATGGTCACGCCGCAATCCCTTCTCCTCCATTCTCCTCTCGGGATCTTGGGCACGCACGCACACGCGCCCGGCGTGAGTTTTAAGCCACCGGGTCCGGGATGCGAAACCGCAGTCGACTACATGGGAGTCTAGCGACATAGCCATTACGCTAACTGCTGGTTCCCAGGCTGCATCTTATTTGAAGCCACACTCAAACACTATTTCTTTTTCTTTCTCGGAGGATTGGCTTCCACTTTATTGCAACACTTTAACTGCATTTGGCTCCCGCAACTGATTTAAAACATCATTCCCGTGCCCTACAGTGGGTTACTCACTCAGACCCAAATAAAGCTGATCTTTACCTGCTCGTGCAGTTTGCCACCTCGATCAACAACGTGTGAAGTCTGACTGGCCAGAACTGAAGCCGGGAGGGTTGGGTGTTTGGTTTATAAAATCGCTTTCATTGCCCTGCATCGCATTCCATGACGAGATTCTAAGTGAGAAACGGAAAGCTCTGCTTAACGCCAGCGACGATAACAAAGTCACCCCCCAGCTGAAACTGCCAAGCTGATCGACTGGCTTAGCAACTCTCTACGACACTCTAAGACAAATGGATTCAGAAGGCCGGGTGTTTACAGCACAGGAATGTCTCACAGAGGTGGGCCTAAAATATTTCATAACCGTAAATATGACTCCCAGAGCCACCCTCGTCGGACCTATCCGATTTCATCAGCCTTCTGGAATGGTATCTTTCACTCGAGCAGCCTCAGGGCACGAGTGCAATAAGATAACATTAATTAAAATGCATAAAATCATCCAGGAGTAGCGAGGAGTATACTACTTTTTTTCAAAGGGTAGAGATTGTGCTAAAAATACTCATCACTATTTTGCCAGCAGTAAAAACTAAGTCTTACATGGTGCCCGAAGCTACGGCTCTACCAGACATTCTCCGAGGTAGGATAATAATTAGTATGTTATTCACTTGTCTGGTATGCACTAACTTCACAGGGTTGTGTACACACGCTTGCTTAACACCACTCCAATTCTCTGCTACCTGTTGGCCATGAAGCAGAATCTAAGAAGTCCTAAAGAATACCACGCATACCTTTACCAATAGGCCAACGAAGACCATTCAAAACACGCAGAGTCTACGCAGTCCTAACAAGACGCTTTCGATTATCTTTGTTCAAGGTCAGATCTCCACTTCATTTGGAAACAAAATGCAATAAATAGGGCCAGCAGGTGGCATGGAGGTTAAGGCACTGGATCCCACATGGCTGACTTTATGGTTCAAGTCCCAGACCAGGAGACTTGTGTGTGTGTGTGTGTGTGTGTGTGTGCCCAAAATCCCGAGAGGAGAATAGAGAAGGGATTGTGGTATGGCCATTCCCCGAGGGGGTGATTTCTCACTTTCCTTCTATCTTTTTCTCTTTGTCCCGCTCTGGTGAACTCACGTGCCCTCAGGCAAAATGTAAAAGGGGGGGGCATGCTTACACCCCATTGGGTAGTGCTTCCCCTTGGCCCCCCTTTGGTGAGCACAAGTAACCCATGGCAATAACAACAATAATAATAATAGTAATAATTAAATGTAAAAACAAAATGAAGTAAAATTGAAAAAACGTGAAACCTACCAGAACATATCCAGGGACTAGCACATGGTGTAATAGGTATCTCCAGACTCCCACATGGTTGACTGCGGTTTGAGTCCTGGACCAGGTGGCTTAAACCTCACGTTGGATGCATGTGTGTGCATGCCCAAGAGAGAAAACGAGGAGAAGGGATTGCGGCGTGGCCATCCCTCCAGTGGGTGATTTCTCGCTTTCTGTCTCTCTTTCTCTGTCTTTCCGGTGAATGCACAGATCTTTGTACCCTATAGCAAAAATCTCTCTAAAAAACAGCAATAACTTTAACTGCCTCGGCACTGACCTGATCTCACTGGATCTCAAAGCAACCCCACCAGGGAGGGCTGAGCTGAGAACTTTGCTCAGGGCCACAACTAGGAAATGCAGAAAGCCAGCCCCGGAACCCAGATCCGTCAGACTCCAAATCTCAAGCACCCGACTGCACTGTCTGGGCCAGTGAGAACTATCACAAATGCAAACATACAGTTAAAGGCGCAAGAAAAGAACATCATTTTATCACGAACAGTCACAGTCTCTGCACGCACACAGACATCACGGAGCTGAAAATGCTGTTTTCTATGTTGCCTGTTCATTTAAGTTTATTTCAGGTATTAGCATCAAAATAACCACAGTACAGAAATGACATCGATCCGAGATGATCTTCGACTAGAGTTTTTTTTTCCCTAATAAGGTGAAGACGTGATGATACAAAACAAGATTTTCGGCAGTTAAGGGCTACAATCTTTTGCTTTTCAAATATACAAAAGTGATACCTACCAAGATAGTGGGATTTCAAGTGGGTTTTTAAATTACTGGTTTATACTTGGTTATATTATCATGTTTTCTACTAAAAACTGTACCATTGTTTTTATAACACAGGAGAAGATAACCAGGGTCTTTTGAGAAAAAAAAAAAAAGCAACAGTGAGACCAGCAGGTGGCGTGGTGGTTAAAGGGGCTAGATTCCCACATGCCTGATCATGGTTCAAATCCTGGTCCTGGTGACTTGCTTTCTCAATTTCTCTCTCTCTCTCTCTCTCTCTCTCTCTCTGTCTCTCTCTAATCAAATTAGAAAATAATAATAATAAATAAAATTAAAATAATTCTTTAGGGACCAGCAGTTAGCGTAATGGCTATGTCACTAGACTCTCATGTAGTCAATCGCAGTTCTAGTCCCAGACCCGGTAGCTTAAACTCACGCTGGGCGTGTGTGCATGCATGCCCAAGATCCTGAGAGGAGAATGGAGGAGAAGGGATTG